GTCTTGGGATATGGAGACCGGTGCGGGAAACTAGGACACTACACCTTGTCCTACCGTCGGGTGCGAGTCGACCTCATTCTGCCATGTCGCATTCTACATCACGATGACTTCCCATGCTGAGGACAATGCTGCACTTACGAGGGTCATGCAGCACACGCGGACACAGATACAAAAATATCGTGCCGGAGGTGAAGCGTGTTCCCCACCCAATGTGCTTCGAACGGGGAGTGGTAAATATTTGGTACAGTTTACCTGAACACCTGATGGGGGCAACATCTGTGCAACAGTTCAAAACGTTGTTAGGTTTATATTTACCACTATTTGATTCAGAGAACAATGGCACATTTGCGATGACATGTCACATTTGTGGGTCCTGCAATACCGTGAGTCAGATATGTTAAATGTTACATGACAACGATAACGATATTCACGGCTGATAATTTTTATAAGGTTTTTCACCATATTTCGAGAGAGTTGTACAGAATTCATTTCTACTTGCTCTATAATACAGTATTCAGTACAAGCAGCACTTGCTCATATACTGGAGACCATATGAATCAATATCAGCTGCTTGTCGGAAAAGCCTACAAAATTTGAATTCTGTGATTACGCTGCGATCCCCAAGGTGCGACACTGGCGGTACTCTCTCATTGCGCTTGTCCGAAGATGAAGCGGTTTCAAATGCCGGTCAAGCCGTTATGGGCATTGCTTACATTCCCCAGGCTGAATCTGTCTTCATCGACTGGATCCCAATGAACAAACGCATGTGCACTGTCAGATTGGTTTGTTTGTTCAAAGCATCAAAGTTGCGTGGAGACAAACGCTGCTAGTTTGTCATTGCGGCCTATACGCCCACAAATTGTAGCGCTGAAGCAGTGCAAAATGACTTCTACCAGTAATTAAACACGCTCCGCAGTCACAGCAAAATTATAGACCCTGTGATATTTGCTAATGAGTTGAACGCCCATGTCGGAAAACTGTCCACTGATGAGCTTCATCTGGGTGGTCAGCACGGTGTTGGCTCCCGTAATGATAACGGTGAGCGGTTGCCACATCTGTGTGAAGATGCTCGTCATTCTTGCGAGCACTAACTTTCGACACATCACCCGCCAAAATGTGGCATGTCTCCCATCAGCCTCGGAACAGTCGTGGACAAAAATCGATCACATTTCGATCAGTTACTGTTGGAGAGAATGCTTACAAAACTGTCATTCGAATTGGAGCATGAGCTTGGACTCTGACCAGGTACGTATTTGCGTTTCAGTAGATGTCCGCAACGACGCTGTGAACGCATGGATATTTACCAGCTGGGGAAGCCACATGTTCTGGGTACGAATCAAAGTACGCTGTCATCCAGGCTGGGTAAGCGCACACTGAACACCGTTGAAGAGCACTGGTCGCATATCCGAGAAGTATATCTTCATGCGGCAAATCCAATAGCCAACAGGGACATTGGGTCTACACCCAGTCTTTAGAGTTCCTGAATGTTCGCCGACTTATTTCGCCTGGAAGTGAATGCAAATGCGTGCTATCCTAATGAGAGACCACGAAGCCCTGCGGTCTCGTCCTGCATCCAAAAGGGATATAGCAGCTGTCCTTGGTAACTATCAGAAGTTATTCCGTCTGATACGAGAAACGGGCAGCAGGAAACCTGGTGAAAGCCAGATCATATGCAATGAGGATGGACAGCCGAACCACAGTTTGTCAAAGCGATAGGAGCGTTGAAGCGAACACTTTGAGAAGCAGTTTAGTCAGTCAAAACTGCCAGCATCTCGACCGGCCAATGAGCGCCATACTCCCAGGGCCGTCCCCTTAGAACCGCCCTCACGCACGCATATAGAATGTGTGATTAAACAGTTAAAAGTGAACAAGGCCGCTGGAGGAGTTGGACTTCATCCAGCCATCTTTGCATTCGGGAAAGCTGCTCTTTTGGACCACTTACGTAACTTCCTATTGTAGGAGAAGGATACTGTTCCGACAGACTGGAGCTATTCCGTTATAGTCGTACTTTTCAAGGGAGTCTCCTGTTCCGAATGCGGCAGTCATAGAGGAATCGGTCCGACCTCTATTGCATCTAAGTTACTTGCCTCTATCGTCCTCTATAGATTAACTGGCATGGGTAAAAGCCAGATGCGTGAGGCGTAAGCTGGGTTTAGTCGAAATGGAGGCTGCATTGATCACATCTTCACTTTATGTGAACTGATGAAGCACCGCCATGTTTATTGGCAATCCATCGTCGTTGTGTTCCTATACATCAATGAGGCCTTTGATTATGTTGATACTTGTGACATTCGGGACTGTCTACTGAAGAAAGGTGTGCCTGATAAATATGTAAACATAATCCGAGTGCTTTATGCTCAACTTCTTCCCATACTATTTGACATTTATCTCCAGTTTGTTTCGTCCATATCCATCCAGTTGTGCTGTTAGAGCCATTTATTCCAACCCATCTGCCATGCGGTTTAAATGGAATATTACCAACCTGTTGGGCAACAGCGAGTGCATTCACAAAAAGTACTGGCGGCGATAGTTCGCTGCTATTCGCTCAAGGGATGCAAAGCCGTTTTCCCATGCATCTGTTCAAAGAACTCGTTAAAATTAAAAAGGAAGTATAGAACTTTAAATACGAGTTTATCGATGGGATCCTGACGAAGTGTATTAATTGTTTTATTAATCGAAAATCGACCAATTCAATAGTTTTGATAAACATAAATCGGTTGGCGAATTTCTAAAATTTATTAAAACCGAATTAACCCGGCGCGGTTACCTTCACATTCCAGTCAGTTTTGATGTCGTTAAGTTAAATCGCATAGTGTATAATCTGTTTAGACTATCATCAACTGACTGAATCTTTGAAAATTTTAGAAACACTGTGTCCGAATGATCGGTTCTAATTAGTGTTAAATCTAAAGGTCGATAGCGTACTTAAATACATTATACAACGGATTTCATTTGGATGTTCAATATAACCTTGCTTTGATTCTAATGAACCCGGATACATCAACATTAAAACCACGCGCTTTGTAATCTGGTGCGGATCAAGTCAAGCAAATCTGCGCCTAGTTAAACCTATTACAGCTTTTACAAGCACACCATTACGCCGAGCATAGTTGTAAACTTGTAGCTTAAGCACAAGTTCCTGGTGACAACAAACAGCCTTTTTATAAACATATATGGTGGATGCTATTGACATCGTATATCCTATAAATTCAGCATAGGTCTACCGGACTTGGAAATGCAATGGAGAGCATTTGCATCTTGTTACCTACTGCTTCTCCCTCGTATTGTTTTTAATCATTTAAGGCACCTCCATCCACGTATGCGCTAAAGGAGAGAAGATAAGTACAACGAAGAAAATGACCCAAACGCTCTTTGTCGTCAAGTTGATTAATGCAGCCCTAGAAGTACAAGGGCTATATCACTGACGCATAACATAAAACGTCAATTCCTGTTCGCACACCTGCAATCATGAACTCCGAGAGTACCGTACACACCACCTTCTCCGACTGCCTCATCTCACAGTTTCTTTTATGTCCTACTGCAACTCATAGTACGTAGCTTAAGGTAATTGTATTCATCCATATGATTGCTGCTTATACTGAGAGACTGATATGTCCGATTTAGTTGGCCAGTCCGTTAGTGCATTTAGAGATCAAATAAGTCGTTCGCCACTCAAACCATAGGTGAAGGAGCCGAACATTCAACCAGTAAACAGTTATTCATTATTAGCTAACTAAAAAGCAAGATCAGGTTGGAGTTCAGGTTAGTAGTTGTGTAAAATTGAAGTAAACATAAACTGTATTATAGGGCGAACATTCGCCGCCCTTTCTTTTTTCCTGCAGTGTGAGACAGTGTTGCCCTTTGTCACCTTTCTTCTTTAACTTCGCCACTGCTGAAGTTATGGAGACTGCGTTCACTGGACACGACGGACGACGCGTGGAGCTGCTCCCAGGTGATTGACTTCTTAACTTGGAGTACGGCGACGACATTCCCATACCTGTGAAAGCTTCAAAACGCACCCAGTGGCAGTGGACAAAGCTGCATTGGCTTTCAGTTGTTCCGGACAATGCTTTGCACCCACAAAATGCATAGTACTTCTCCAAGATTGGCAGGGACCTGCTCCAGCACTGACTCTTGGTGGTGATCAGCTAGAAGTCGTCGATAAATTTAAGAACCTAGGTAGCGATGTCGGCACTAGTGGAACTGAAGATGGGCTCACAAACCACATAACAAAAAACTAAATGCGCTTTTGCCAATCTTCGTCACGTGTGTCGTCGACATGACATTACTGTCATTCTGAAGGGCAGGGTTTACAATACAACCGTCTGTTCAACCCTCTTGGTTGGCTTCGAAACCTGGTCTATCTAGTCGACAGACATAAAGAGGGTAGTTACGTTTCGATCATCGTTGCCCTCGCAGCTTAGCTCATGTCTGGTTGGAACATCGCGTGAGTAATGAATGTGTACAGAGTCGCGTATTTGGTGGAGAAAGAGCGAGTGAACCGTTCAGCTTGATGGCTTCAGCGTGAAGTTGCTCAGATTGCCTACCCTCGTCAGAGTCCGTGTTCGCGCAGACCGCCGTCTTCCTCGATAGACAAACACTTATTAGAATCGGGTTATCGGTTAGAGCTGGGCTCAGCGTTTAAAGTTGTATTAGGTTACAATAAGCACCGCTTCGGTTTGTTGAGGCTGTTTGTTGAGGCTATAAGCCGAATATGGCCAGTCTTGTGTGTACAGCAACAATAGTTTGCCAGCCTGAAACTGCCTTGGACGTAGCTGTGAACTTCCGTCATTCGTTCTGCACCTCATGCTTGTTTGTTTTCACCCACTGTTAGCTACATCTATGCATATCGGTTATCGTTAATGAGACTGAGAAGACAATACAAAATGCATGCATCTACCAGTCTTCATCTTCTTTCCGTACTATTCAAATGGTTGTTTACTCTGTCTTTCATGTTGGAAATATATTTGGAATAACCATGCTTGTGTCACTTTATTTAGTTTACTGGCGTAGAGGGTATGGTCACAGCCATCAGTGATTTCTTCCCATCCCTGACATTCCGTCCTCTACGCCGAACTGCATTCGTCGCTTCTTCGTGCATTGTCTGTTACCTGGTTGGACTGCCAATGGTTACTGAAGTGAGTCAAATTTTTCTGGTTGATAATTCCCCGAGTTCATTTTCAATAAAGTAGGGCGTCTGTGTATGATACGATTGCTGGTCTGTTTTGAACACATGATTTTCCATTCCCCGTGGCGCCTTCTTAAGGGTATCATTCATAGGTATGTGCATCAAACAACCACCAGAAAAAATAGGGAGAACAAATTTGGTGGCGGTTAGTTATCTCAATATTTTCATCCTGTCCCCCATAAATTTTATATCTTACTGTATGGCTGCACTTTGCATCGTGATTGGCCGTTCAGACATGGAGGCACGATGAGACCGGAATAAAGTCACAGTCCGTTAGTAAATCCAGCAAATAATGGAGTCAATGTGAAGACGTGCCCTGAACCCATAAAACATGGAAGCTGCAATTTTTCGTGATAGCCTACCGGATCACGATGATTGCAGGGCGAACCCCTATACTATGAAGGCATATTTTTCAGACAATGAGTGGTTTTCTTTCACCTTCACTGTTGAATGCATTGTCCGGACGCTTATCCGGCAAAGCAACATGACTAGCTGAGAGCAGCAACTTCACCTGGATAACCCATGTTAAACCAACTGAAATAAAAACGTGTATCAACGTAGGCCAGCTTAGCATTTACAAACTTCGGTACACCACAGCATAGTCGACATTAGGCTCTAACATGCATTTAAAGCCGACCAAAGAGGAGAAAATTTCTCTGAATTTTATAGAGGTTTTCAATTTAAATGGAATAATGGAACAATGGTTTATTACGGGTAAAAAAGCATTGCTTAACAAGTCCCTTAGGATGGAAATTATTGTGAAAATCAATTGCATGATAAAGTGAAAAGCGTTGTGGTGGACTCATGCGGACTTATGTGGACTTATGCAGAATAGCGGAGATGTTCGCGTATTAAATATATAAATCCATCAATCCATTGGTTAGGCGTTTGGCAAGACACAGTTTGATTGCGTTTTGTAGCCCCTGGCTAACAAGTCATAAAATGAAATGTAAGTGAGACAATGCATCGTCAACACGTTTTTTAAATATCGCCAGATTGGGAACAGAGGCGACATAATTAGGGAGGACGTTCCAAGGCTGACATACGCGGAGGGAAAAGAAATTTCTACGGCATTCAAGCCGGCTACACTGAGTTACCAATTTCAGAGGGGAAACTCTTAGGTTAATGCTGTGGTTCAATTCCAACAGCGGATGGCAGGTGTGGTTTGGATCCCTCAGAATTTGGTAAACCATTATGAGATCCCCCTGCAAAAGCCGATACCGACCGCTGTAAATTCTTAGAGATTTCAGTCTAAGCTGATAGGGCAGATGGAAGAGGCTCCTGAGATTCTTTGTTGCCCTGCGTTGAGGAGTCTCGAGAGCAACGAGATCCTGTTTCTGCCACGGCTGCCACGCCTGAATAGCATATTCCACGTGAGGTCGCACGTAGGCGTTAAGCATTTGGGGAAAGATTGAGGGTTCAAACCAACCGAAGACTCTGCGAAGAAGGCCGAGGTGTTGATTTCCGGTTTTCGTCGCCTTCTCTGCTTGTTTTGAACACCCGAGATCTTCCTGAACCAATACACCAAGGTCACGCTCCTGAGAAACCTTCTCCAAGGTGTGGTCTCCAATCTGGTAAGCGCTCACCGGCTGGTGACGCACATGCATCACTTTGCACTTAGCTATGTTCAATTGAAGCTTGTTCCTCTTTGACCATTCTTAAATGCAATCTAGGTCATGTTGGAGCAGATCCTGATCTGGCTTGTTACAAATCGCCCGCCATATCTTGACATCATCGGCGAAAAGTAGGAAATTTGAGGAGATGACCCTTGCCATGTCGTTGATAAACACAGGAATAAACGCGGTCCCAGCACTGAGCCTTGTGGGACACCACATTCCACCTCAATTGGATTAGAAAGCGATCCCCTAACACGTACTTGAAGCTTTCGTTGGTAAAGGAAGTTGCCAATCCAACCAAGTACAGGATCTCCGATTCCGCAACTTTGTAGTCTTTGAAGTAGGATGCGGTGATCAAGGCGGTCGAAAGCTTTGGAGAAGTCCAGATAGATGACATCGACTCCGACCCCATCATCGGCCACTTCCGTCCAACTACCTCATGCAAAAAGTAGGTTGGTGGTGCATGACCGGTGTTGACGGAAGCCATGCTGTTCCGGTACCAAAATGTTGCATTTTTCTAAGTAGTCCATTAAAGCCTCAGCGATGACTGCTTCCATCACCTTCGCGAGCACAGGGAGGAGAGTCACTGGACGATAGTTTGCAGGATCTGAACGGTTCCCACCTTTAAAAATAGGGGTTATAATGCCACACTTCCACCTAGTGGGGATTTGTTGTTCATCAAAGCACCTTTGGAATAACTGTGACAGTGGTACAGCTAGCTTGGTGTCCATAGCCTTCAGTGCCTTCAGGCGGATGTTGTCTGCTCCCGGAGAACTATGTTCACGCAGTGAGAGTAACTTCCTTAGCACAATTGATGGGTTGAAAATAACATTTGTAAACAAAGGTGTCGGTAATGTGCTTGATATTATGGGACAGATAGAGTTTGCGAGTTCGAAGATTGGGGCGTATTGTGGCCGCAGGGCATTAGCTGCTTCTTCGGCACTTTGTACTCTACCGCCTGTTGTGAAAAGTGGGGGGATTCCATGCTTCACTTTACGAATCTTATTGACATGCCTATATAGCAGTTTGTTGTCCTCACGGACAAGTGCGGTGCAATGGTTGCGAAAGGTCAGGAAATTTCCACAAGTCTCTGAGTCTGGGTTAATCTTGTAGGCATGCCATGCTGCATCCCTTATCGCCAGGCATTTTCGAGTCCTACTCCTTATCATTGAGGGCATTTTCGCGGGACGACGGGGTTTGGTCTCTGATGCTCTGTTGACGATGTCGCTGAATCTATTAACAAACTCTGCCCAAACGTCGTCAAGGGGACTTTTGTCTGAGAATTCCCAAGCAGCTGCGTCGGCGAGTTCTTTTAATACCTGGTAGCGTGTGATTGTATGAATTGGTTCCCAGTGATCATATGGGTACTCTGAATAACACACATAGTTAAACGTTATTACTACATGGGCACTGAGACCTAATGGACTATCCATCAATAACTTGTCAATCATGAGCTCTTCATTCGTGAGCACAAGGTCCAATATGGACGGTTTGTTTGCTTTCCTGAATCTAGTGGGCGTGGTTACATGATTGTACAAGGGAATATTCGCGACCAGTTCATGCAAGTCTGCTTTGGACTGCTCATTGGGTGGTGCCAAAACCACCAGATTGTGTAGATTGAAGTCCCCGGAGATGAGAATGTGGCTGTACCTATTGCGTGATACTCTGTTTAGGCTACGGATCAAGCAGGAATCCATTTCCGGAGTGGACGTTGGGGGGCGGTAAACGTTAGCTATGAGACATGTGTCGTTGTGTCTTAGTTGGAGACGGCACCAGAGTGAGTCGGTAATGTGTGTTTCCAGATCATCAACGGTTGTACATTGTAGATCGCTGCGGTAGTAGAGTAGGACCCCACCTCATCTGCTGGGGCGGTCGTTCCGGATGAGTGACATTCCGGTTATCTCAACCTCAGCATCAGTCACCTCTTGGTGTAACCAAGTTTCGGTAATAGAAATTAGGTCTCAAGCATTCGCAACCTGACGTAGTCGAGGTTCGGTAATTTTAATGAAGAGCCCTTGAGCTTTAGTGTACATACATGAAAGTTTCTCAGATTTAAGCAATGTTTCGGAGATTCTGCAACCCATATGTGAAGTTTCGCCGACCAGTGAGTGGCCGGCGACCAATCGTTTTTTCGATGTGTGCTTGGTGAAGGGTTTAACATTTTATTCATCGTCCGTGTAGTTAGTCCCGTATCTGATCTGCGACGTACAGTGTAAGGTGTCTGGTCAATGTCATCTTCTACAGGTTGTATGGGCTCATTCGGCACACTACTGGTGCATTGTTCTCTCATAGATCCCATCGCGATTGGTTCTTTGAGTGACATATCATCTCTAGGAGGCATATCGCTGATTGTCTTCAGCCGAACCTCAGATGGTAGCTTGCAACGGAACATGTACCAGCATTTTAACATCCGTGCTACCATATGTTTTGACTGAAGGACCACCTTCAACACTCTCGGGCCAATTCCTTTGTAGTTCGGTAAGGTACGCTATGGGAAAGTAACTTATTCGGTACAGTTATTGAGGAGGAAATATTAAACGTATCAAAAATGCTTTCCGCAGGGAATGAGAGAATAACTCATTGTCAGGGTATAGATACGGATATATTCGTAGATTTTTGGCGTGAAGGTAAACATGCATTCGCACTACTAGCTAGTGTGGGATTGCTTGATATAAGGGAGCATTTCTCGCACATGTTTATCGGCAGCGCTCAGTAGAAAATAAAGCCCGTATACGTCCATTCCGTTACTGTTATATTAATTGATTGTGTACGTAACCTTGGCTGAATGGGACCACAAACATTTCTCTAGAACAGTACGCTCAAGGGGATAGATCACAGTAATAAAATACTGGGTAAATTGCAAGAATCTGCTGAAACGCCGAACGAGAAGTGACTAGCTTCTGTCCTTGATGTGATTGACGCAAACTATGTCTAATTTGAACCCCTGGCCATTTTAATAAAGGCGCAAGCAAAAAGACCATGGCCCAAGGGGATACGACGGTAACAATCGAGGATTTGTTTGTGATGTAGTTGTCTATCGAGAGAAAGAACCTGGTTACCTTTTGCAGCGTTTAGTGAGATAGGGTGAGATTCAGATAATATTGAGGATTCTTCCAAACAGTGGAGTAGCAACTACCTTTGCTGTCAGAGGCGTAGCAAACTTTTCGCCCTGATTAAGGGCACCTTAGTTTTCGATGATATGGATGATCATTTGGGACCCTGGAGTAAATGTGCCGAAAGTGATCATAATTGGACAAGTAGGATTTTTGGGAAGAGCGTTTTTGCAGTTGTTATATATGGTGTAAATGTATTGTTGGTCATACAGAGTAACATC